TTGGTTTTAGCAGAAATTTGGTAGGATGCCCTAGAGTTTCTTTCATTTTATTTTCATAGATTTTTTTTCTGACACATACTACAAGATGGAGAAACTTAAAAAATGTTATGCCAGATGAAGATGGCAGGTGGAGAAGACCACCTATTTTATAATTTCATTTATATGAAATGTCCCCAAACAGGGAAATTTATAAAAACAGAAAGCATGTCAGTAGCTGCTTAGGACTAGGGAGGCTGAATATTGGCAGGGAAGATAAGATAGGGTGTTTAATTTTAAGGTGATTACAAGGTTCTAACATCAATTGTGGTTCTGTTTGCATATATCTATGAGTCTAATAAAGTACATTGAATTGTATACTTTAAAATGATGAATCATATATGTAAATTATATCTTGCTAAAGCTATTAAATATGAGGAAAGGAGTTTATACACAGCATCTGATACATTGAATTCATTCAGATGTCTCTTTCTCCTAGGGAGTGCCCAACTAATTAAAATCATGAGGCACCTGTCATATGCAAAACATTGTGTACCATTGTTGAATGAAGTAAAAGATAATAGAGCCTCCAACCAAAAAATCTGTATGTTCCACAATGTTCATAGCAGCATTATTTATAATAGCTAGGACATGAAAGCAGCCTGAATGTCTATTAATGGATGAACGGATTAAGATGGTGTGATTATATATATACCACAGTGAGATAACAGAATGGGTGATCATTTTGCAGTATGTGAAATAGACACACACACATATACCACACACACACACACACATATATATATATATACACACACATATATATACACCACATATATACTATATATATAGCATGGAGTATTATATAGCCATGAGAAAGAATGAAATGCTGTCATTTTAAACAAAACGGAGGGAATTTGAGAGAATATGTGCAATAAATTAGGTCATAGTGATAAAAGCAAATACTGGACATCTAACATAGCGGAGAGTTCAATAATATAAAGCACTTAAAAAATTCTAGTGGACATCAATAAATAGCCCGAGTGTTCTGAAGTTAAGAGGAAGGGAGAGGGAAAGGGACAAGGGAACACGAGGGATGGTGGTGGGAAATATGGTAATAATAAAGGAAAAAACAAATTGTAAACAAAGTGAAAATGAATATCAGCACTTATTTTTGTGGCTATTAAATGGTTATTAATTTTAAAAAGTAGCAAGAGAGTGGGCCTCCCCAGTGGCACAGCGGTTGCACGCTGGGTTGCAAGGCTTCCCACAGCCTGTGCAGCACTGGTTCGATCCCTGGCTGCCAAGCAAGGGTCCCAACATGGAGTGCAGACCTCTCCTGCCACACCTGCTGCTCCCCTCAGCAGTGTACTTCGTCAGTCTGCCTGTTCTGCTTCCCACTCTGGCTCTGGTGAATTCTCTCACCCTCCTGCACTTCTGACTGTACCCAGTGCCTGTATAAATAAATAAATAATTCTTTAAAAAAAAAGTAGCAAGAAAGTTGCCTGTTTGATGGAATTTATAGGGTTACAGTTCTTGATGAAGTGCAGAATCTTTACACAGGGGTACTACTGAGCACAACAAAAAACAACAGCAAAAATGATTAAACACCTTCGACTGTCAAGAAGACTAAAAATGCAGTAGGGGAGATGATACAATAAAAACTGTAACTTTTTTGACCATGTAGTACATACCTGTAGCTGTGCCAAAAGCTTTAAAAACTATTCTGTCTTATTTTTCTAATGATTCTATAAATACTATTATTTTTCTGATTTTGTATCTGAGGAAATTGAGGTATACAAAGGTTAAGTGATTTTCTTACGGTCATGTATCAAAAAATAGCAGCGTGAGAATTTCAACATAGTTCTTAGTCAAGAGTCAATGTCCTTAATGACTAGAGTTCATAAGTACACAGAACATATAATACAAGGGAGATTAAGCAAAGTGCCAGGGGCAATAGAGCCATCTGAAGAAAGAACACATCTATTTGCAGCTAGCAAAGACTAGGTATGTTTGACAACAATTTAGCTACAAATCTACCTTACAGATTAAATATTTTTTTTTGTAAAATAAACATAGTAAAACTGAAAAGGACCACAGATACTCACAATGTCAAAGTTACAACTTTCTCCTACTAGACTTATAATAAAGGAAAAATACTTAAAACCAGAACTTCAAGCTTTATTCATTTTATCTCCAATCTAATTCTTTATCTTCAGTCTGAGATCTTCCTTTTTGTGTTCCAATTACACTGCTAATCTAGATTGTACAGATTGTTCCTGTCTCTCACCTACTTTTTAATTGATTTTCCCAATTCATCTCTTCCCACAAAGTTAGTTAAATATTGTGGTTAAAGATATTTTTATAAATCACAAAGCAAACTGCTAACAACAACTTTAGTGCTTTTCACAAAGGATAATCTATTTTGCTTAAAATCTGGAAGTTATATATTAAATGTTTACCTAAACTTACTTAGTCTTTCTACATATTTATATAGCACCTTTTCCCCAAAATATTATTTTTATTAAGGTAAAATTGGTTTAAGCACTGTATATGATTTATGGGAATGAATAGGTTCACACTTCTTCAGGTGTATGTTATCATACCACACCACCATGAAGGTTCACATCGCTCCTGTCTCTACTGTTTCTTCTGTACTTAAGTCTATAAAGAAGCATCCCTCTTCTTTATCAAGTCTCCATGAATGCTTTTGAAATTTCCTTTCCTGGGCCTCCCCTGGTGGCGCAGCGGTTGAGCGCTGGGCTGTGAAGCTGTCCGAAGCCTCTGCAGCGCCGGTTCGATCCCTGGCCGCTGGTGAGGGTCCCACATGGCACGCAGACCTCTCCTGCCATGCCTGCTGCTCCCCTCAGCAGTGTATTTCATCAGTCTGCCTGTTCTGTTACCCGCTCTGGCTCTGGTGAATTCTCTCACTCTCCCACACTTATGACTGTACTCAGTGCTTGTATAAATAAATAAATCTTTAAAAAAAAAGAAATTTCCTTTCCAATCCATTTTTAGAAGATTATTTTCATTATTATCAGAGGAATAATGAATAGTGTAGTTCCTGGACAGTTAGCAGTGCTGATAAGAAATATTATGCTAGACTGCCCACTTCCTCATAACATAAATATCAATGCAAATAAAATAGCATTCCCTTCTACTATGGTATAAATGATCACCTCTGAATCAATCGGCAGACTACAGGAAGATGTGATAGAAGATATGTGAGTTATGTAAATAACGAAGTATAAATTTTCTAGAGTTTTGTGTTATTGGTCAGATTAGATTAGTTAATGCTGTGGTTTAAAAAAAAAAAAAAAGACCTCAAATCTCAGTTCTTAGCACATAACAGTTTATTTCTTACACTTAAAAGGTTTGCTGCAAGTCCATCATCTCTCTAGTGTAGATCCTTACAAACAGTGACCAAAAGATCCAGAGAGCATTTATCTTGCAGGTTCCCCATTTGGAGCACATTCCTTACAGATCATCATGGCAGGTAAAGAAAGAATGCTTGGAAGGTCATGCAGGACTTTTTGCCACTCCATTATTGAAATGACACATCACATCTTCAAGATCTCTCTGCTAGAAGTAGTCAAATGACATTGCCTACCTACAAGAGGCTGGGAAGTGAATGGGAGCACTTAGTACCTGATAAGCTATTAATGTATTTACCACATTCTACAAATAATAGAAGCTTGTTTTCATATTTTAATGAGCAACAATTTTGAAAAACTGTAGATGGACACAAAATATCCCTTTACTATTATAGTTTTTAATAGCATATATATGTATATATTAGGAAACAGCTAAAGTTATGAAGCTTCAATATAACTTAAGTTGGCATTACATTTATAATGTTCTAAGAATCTTTCCACTGCAAAAACTTGGAGAGCCAATATGCTATTTATGTACTAGATGCTTTCTATCTTTATAGTAATTTACTTATGATTCAAGGGCACTAACAAAATCAGCTATTTAAAAAAATAGCTATTGGTTCTCTCATGTCAAAATACTTTGTATATATGACCTTACAATATGCACATTCTCTGTAAAATTGTTTTGGGAGACATCAAATTTTAATTCATATAACCCTGATATATAAAAATGTAAAATAAAAATAATTTTTAACATATTGCAGCATTAGTGGAAAATATGAGTCAGCAACAGACATGAGGTACCAAATCTTAGTAAAATATGACACAGGAAGATCTAAATTTTACTCCTACTTCACTTCAACATTAATGCTTAAGACAACACAGTTATAAACAGAATATTTACTAAGATTTTGGCAGTTTTATTTAACAAGACACATAGCATTATAGAGGTCTGGTATTCAACTTGCTTACAGTAAACCTGCTTCAATATAAGGCATTAATTTTTTTTTCTAGAAAACCTTTTCAATACTAAATATTTGACAAGTGTGAAATTAAACACAATAATGAAATCAATTTAGTAAAATTAAGAAATTACAAACTTGAAAGTTGTATACTACACATAAATCATATAAAAAAAGGATTACTGGTTATATAGAAGATTTCTGGGTAATCAAAACTTAAGAGTATAAAACATGCAAAATATTTCAGAATCTTTAGTAATCAAAAAATACCAGGGCTTATTTAAAATTATTCCCTTCCAAAGGGTATCAAAGTTAATTCAAATCATGTAACACTCTAACACTAAATATTATTCAATATTGTTGTAGAGGCAAATTTCATAAAATTGAGGGTTTCCTTATACTGTAAATTACTGTCTTTCTTGTTCACTTGAAACAGCATAAAACATCCCAGAATTTCACAAAGTAAAAAAGGAATGGCTACTGTACTGGCAAAAATAGAATGTTAAGGATCAAAGGCACACTATTCAGCTAGCCAAAGTGATAGCAAACTTTCCCACACAAGTCCTTTCCCATATAAACACAAGTTTACTGAAAGAAAAAAAAAAAAAAAAACTTCAAAAGCAATGATTTGAAACATCAATGTTAAGACCTTACTTCAAAAGCTACTCATCTAGATTTCTGATTATATTTTAAAGATATATCCAAATTCATTACTGTTGACATTCAATGCATTATTTCCATCAAATTTATTTTACTCTCTAAAACATTTTAACTCCAAGAATTTTAACCATTAGTATGAGAATAGGGTTTTAGCTCTCAGGGGAATTAACCACTGGAAGGAAAAACACAGAACCAAAATTCTATATGTAAGCTACAGGGGACAATTATGTCCCCATCTGGCACAGTAGCATTTGACTGGCAACTCAAAGTTCAGGAATGATTCTACTAACAGGGAAACTTACACATTTTGGTAAATATGCCCTAACATTCAGAATTGAAGTTTCCTTTAAGATCTTGCTTTTTTAAAGAAGGAAATCATTTTTGTTTTTTTTTTGTTTGTTTGTTTTTTGACATTCATTATCCTGACTTATGACTTGAACCTGACTTCTTTTTCTTCTTTTTACTATGCTTCTTGTGTTGTTTCCTCTTCTTTTTCTTTGCTTTTTCTGTTGCTTTTTCTCGCTCTTCACATCTTCTCTTCTTTTTTGCTTGCACCTCCTCTTCATAGTCTGATTCTGACGAGAGCTCAGATGATAAAGGTTTTTCCTCAGGATAGCTCTTCTTTCTTTTTTTGCTGAGACTTCTGATATACTTCTCTTTTTCTGTTTCATCCTTGGATTTCTTTTTCTTTTTTACAGATTCCTTGCTCTCTATTTCAGTTTCATATGCGGAACTTTCTGATGATTTGCATGCCCGGTTCTTCTTTTTCTTTCTCTTTTTTCCTTGTTTCTTTTCCTCATCCACAGCATCTGAAGAACTGCTTGAAGAATCAAAGCTTGATGAAGAAGATGAAGATCGACAAGATTTCTTCTTTTTCTTTTTCTTTCTTTCTTTTTTTTTGGATGAGCTCTCATTGCCACTTAATAATTTCTCTCTGCTTTTTTCTAGCTCTTTCTTCCAATTCTCATTCATTTTCTCTTCAAAAGCAGCTAATGCCTTGGAGCCTTTCTTTTTATTTTCTAATTGTTTCTTTACTTCTTCCCAAGTGGGCCTTGGTCGATTCAGATAATCTTGTATTGTTGGACCTGCAGATTGAGTTGGGCCTCTCCATCTTGCCATTGCTATAGGATTCATATAGGCTACTCGATTATCTCGCTTCCCCATGGTATCTGGTGATTCCCAAAGTAGACTATCAGTTACTAAGAATAATAAGGAAAGATAACCCTCCTTAAATTCTTCATCTGCTGGTATCCCGAGTGGGCTCCATTCTGAGAGAGAAGCAGAAAGAATGGTTATAAAACACCTTTACTATAAGCTTACTCATTGACTATCACATAGTAGATATTTTCAAAACCTTAGATCATGGGGAGATTATAAACATTTAAGTTCTTTGGGTATTTTAGACATTTGTGGTATGACTATAACATGAAGTTTTTTTTATTATTTTTTTCTTTTTTATTATTTTTTATTTTTTACATCAATGTTCATTTTTAAACAATATGTGCTACCCCCACCTCAGGTGTGGTCCCCATAGAGTTTCCTTCACCAATGCACTTGTGCACCATCACCACATGAAGTGTTTTATATACCTCCTGTAAGGTTCTGGCATCTAAAATTTTAAATAAATATTTCCATTTATATTGCATGATTATAATTTTTTCTTATATTCTGCCTTATCTGGTATAAAGAGATACATTTCTATAACTAAAATGTGTCCCAGGTAGACCTCCTCCAATTAAGAAAAGTGCAGCAAAATCTACTCCTCTCTATGATGAAAACCTAGAAGTAATACCTGAAAATTTCTACTTCCTCAATTCTCAACCTCTATCCATTACTAAATCCTGATGTTTAAACATCCACAGGACTCATAACCATTCACTTCTCACAGAGTATGCTATCATCAACTTAGTTCAGGCACCATCATCTCACACTTAGAACATCAATCTTTGTGGTATATATTAAGTGTTTATTATCAGCAAAAGACTATTTGTTTAGTTATGGATAGCTCACATTTGATCTCTGGAGTAAATGTTCTAATTCTGTCCTCCCATTTCACAGATGGATAAACTTAGACTTAATCTGAGCAACTTGCATAAAATTAGAGCTAATAAATGTCAGACGCAATGTAGCCTGACTACAAAACCCCTGCACACTTAACACTATATTGATTCCTTATGTCAACCTCTTAGTTGATGGCCCTATTTCTATCCTTACCTTGTTGCATTATGTTCAAAATTGCAGTCGGAAAGATCTTAAAACACTCAGTGTTTTTATATTTTAACGAAAATCAAATATAAATTTCTACACAAACCTTATATTATGTGCCCTGCTTATCTCTCTTACTTTTATTTAGACTGACTTAACTCTTTTCTCAATTTTATTTTCTCCAGTCTTCTTTGGTTTCCAGAAATTGCTAAAATTCAAGTGTAGCCATTATGCTCAGTTCCATCTCATCATTCAAGTCTCAATTTCAATGTTAATTCCTCAGAGAGGCAAGGATTAGGTTGAACTAAAACATGACAAGTTCATGTGGTTCAACCTTATACTAATGTAGGTTGCCTCTGTAGATAGTATTTTCACCATTCTATATCCAATTTCTTTGTTTATTTTGTTTGCAACATTTAACAAATGGATAATTATTTTATTTGTTTGATTATTTGGGTAGTGTGTGTATGTGTGTGTCTCTGTGTGTGTGTGTGTGTGTGTGTGTGTCGCCAAAACTAAATTTAAAGCCAAGAAGTTTAATCACCACGTTTAATCTATCTTATTCACCATGGTGTTCCCAGTACCTAACATGGCATCTGGCCCCACTAAGTACTCAATAAATATTTCCTTAATAATAAAGAAACAAAGGAATAGATAGATGGGCCTAACTCTGGGAGAGAGGGCATTCAGAGAAGCCTCCTGGATTTGGTGATGTCTGTATAGGACTCTGAATGATAAACAGGAGTTCACCCAGGAAATGAAGGACATTGTTGTCATAGGAAGCAGTATATTAAAACACACAAGGAAATGAAAAGGCACCATGTATTTATGTTGACAGAGCCTAATGTGATTTAGGGCAGTAGTAGGAGGTGATATTTACAGATAGTAAATAGCCCAATCATGGAGGCCTTCATAGGACATTTTTTTTAAATCTTTTTAAAAAGATTTATTTATTTATGCATACAAGAGCTGGGGTGTCGGCCAGAGGTGCACCAGAGACAGAGTGGGGAGCAGAACAGCAAAACAGGTGGATGACTGAAACACAGTGCTGAGGGGAGCAGTGGGCGAGACAGGAGAGGTCTGCTGTGCCATGTAGGTCAGCTCCCTGGCAGGCCTGGGATGGAACTTGTGCTGCTGTGGCTGCGGATTGCTTCATAGTGCTGATGCTTAACCCCTCAAACCACCAAGAGAGGCCCAAGACAATTTAAAATCTCAGATTTTGTCCTAGAGTTGTTAGCAAGCTAACAAAGTCTTTTAAATAGAAAAGAAAGATGACAAAATGTAGCATAGATTTTTGTTGTTGTTAGGCACCATCTCGACACTGACCCTTTAATTCAACCTAACACAAGCACAATGTTACGGAGGCTTCAGCGACTCTTGGTGATAGTTTCTGTCACTTGATTTGCTTTGTTCTTCATCTTTTTCTTCATAATATTCAATTTGTCTAGCTTCTGCTAGGTTTTTCTGTCATTTCCATTCTTATCCCTACTCTAAAGATCTTTCAAGTATCATTGTTTTTCTGACTGGATCATCAAAAGCCTTAAAAGACTTTAGTTCCTATTCAACTTGCAGGTTCTTTATACTACTTAGAATAGTATACTCTATTCTATCTTCAGTTCCTTGAGATCTATCCCTGACATCAGCTGGAAAGATAAACAAAACCCAGTGCACAAAGGTTTTGGTGTGAACTGAGTTGCTTGGAATTTATTCTATGGGATTTACAGTCAAGGTTAACAGTGAGATATTGATTACTTTAAGTAGAGTGTGATATGGTAATATCTGAGTGTTTAAGAGACAGTTCTTTTACAGCATGAAAGATGAAGTGAAGGTTAGTAAGAATAAAGGAAATTGGAACACAAGTATTCATGCAGTCAATAAATGAAAGAATATGAATAAAAACAGTGGCACTGTGAATGAAAGGAGTGGGAAATATATGAAACATATTGAGGAGATTTACTGAAATTAATAACTAATTGGACACAAAGGGCAAGGGAGACAAACAAATGTAGGACAATTTTCTGACTTGAGAGACAAGATAAAAGGCAATTCTAATGACTAGGCAATAAAGGATATTACACAGACTCTGAGAAATGCAGTAGGTTCAGTTTTGGACTCATAAAATTTGAGGTAGCTGCTTGTAAGACAGCTAAATGAGTGTCCACATAGGAAATTTTGTGTGGTATTGGCACTCTAGCATGTGATCTGAGATCTTATAAGATTGGCAGTTATTGAGTGGTACCTGAAATCATGAGGAAAAAAATTTCCTTGGAGGGATTTCAAATGAAATGAGGTTTGAACACTGGATTGATTTCATAGCAACATGCAGAAGATGTAAAGTCCACAAAGAACACTTCAGAAAATTAGCCAGAGTGGTAAGAACTAGACCATTATCAGAAAAAAAAAATGTGTCACAGAAACACAGGGGGAAGAATAAAGTTTCAAGGTGACAGTAATCCTCAAAGACATATGTTCATCAATTTCATTTGAGCAATTTTTAAATACCAAAAAATTTGGGAAATACTTAAATATTCATTAATAATGAATTTGTTAACCTGACATCTAAAAACATGTTGTACAGAGCTAGCTTATCAGTAATTTTTACTTACTAATTATATCATTACCAGTAGCAGTTGTCATACAATATTCAGGAATACAGGAAAGCTTAATACTGGATGGAATATCAAGTTTCCACCTAATGCCCCCACTTAAACTTTTCCTTTCTTCACTGAAATAATCTGCCTGTATCAGGAATCTGTAAATTCCAGTGCATTTGTTTGAATTGCTCCAAACTCAGTAACTGTAGATAATTTTTTTCCTCTATGGAAGAAGTGAATTATAACCTGAAATTCCTCAATATCCCAGAATATGAGTATATAGATCACTTAAGCAATCCTTTAAATCTTCTGATAAGCAGATCTATTGAAACATTGTAATCTATTGGATTTAATTCTTCATTATGGAAATAAATTTGAAATCCTGAAAATTGGACAAAGACCTGAAATATTTCTTGCATGCTCAAATTGAAGAAAACTTGAATTTTTGTCAGTCTGAATTACTGGATTAGAAAAAAAATCATGGCTCTATAATTTTATTTTGAGCACCATACAATCTAAAATGGGGGGAAAAAAAACTTACCCTAAGGTTGAATATGAATGATTATATATATAATCTGAACATATATGATTAATTTATTTAGTCAACAAATATTTACTAAGAGCTTGTTTAAAACACATAGTCATTGACTTGGGGGCTTACATTATAAAGAAGGGAGATAATGAATTTGGATTTTACTTCAAATATATCAAATGAATACTGAGGTTTTAATAGGAAAGTAAAGAAGTCAATAGAAAATACTGGGTTGGGAGAGAAAGACAAAAAAGTTAAATCACATAATGAGGAAACATGCAGATAAGTCAGGGAAGTGTTCTTAAAAAGCAAACAACGGGTGTCACTTATATGTGGAACAGAGAGAAACAAAACAAAGTGTCATAAAAAAAAAACTCTTAAAAATCTGAACCTAGAATTGAGACTACTAGAGGGGAAGTTGTTGGAGGAAGAGCAAAGCGTGGGGCTGCGGAGGCGGGGGGAGTGGGGGCAATGGACTATGGTAGACGTCTATGGGAACCTTGGTGGTGGTTGTGGTGTGCTAACTATACCTGAAACATGTGATCCTATACCTCTAAATCATACACAGTGTTGTAAAACAATGTTACCTCAATAAAAATAAGTAATAAAAAAACTGATCTTTTCTGAAATTTATATGGGGAAAATGAAGATTGTTCTAGAGAAAAAGATTTAAAAAGAGTTAAATGCCACAAATGAACTTTGATTTTATCCTGGTTCAATAAAAAACAGGTATATGAGGTTTCTTTCTGGAACAATGGAAATGGTCTCAAATTATATTATGGTGATAGTTACACAACTTCTATAAATTTGCAGTAATCACTGA